TCCTTCCCCTCTGTAACATATAAATTCAGATTTTTAAAATGGTCCATATTATTGAGTTGATATGCATAAAATAGGTCCATATTTTAAAAGACGAGTCACGTTAGTTAAATTATGTGCAAGGTGGGTAAACATTTTAGGAATTTGTCCTAGTACTTGTTCGTCCCTCTAAGGTAGCCTATTTGATTTATTTACTATTAAACGTCATCACATTAAAAACTTTCTTTTACCCTAGTCCAGGCCATGGTGTGGCTGAGATGGATATGTGCATTCTTGATACTCATCTAATTTTTTGCAACAAATATTGAAAATTAAGGCCTTTGGAAACTAGTTTTAAGACTGAAAGTGCCATTTCCAGAGGTGATTTGGGCCTTTTAAAGGACGTAATTTTTAGTTTAATTTCATTACTATACGTAACATGATCGTTCCAAAGAGAAGCATCTAACAATTAAACTCCTCAACACTTTAACGTCTTAAACTAATCAAGTTTTTATGTGAAATCAAGCGGGTGTTTTAGAACATGTCAACCGACGCGTACTACTTGTCATTTACATTCGTTAAAATTAAACCCCTACCTTTAACCCAGTCAGAGTGATAATGTCGATGAAAGACTACATTATTTTCTCAAATGCTAGGTTTTGTTAATGTGACATTGGCAAACCAGAGTAATACGCTCGATTAGATAGATTTTTAAATATCTTGCCGGGCCCCAGTCTATCTCCAGCCAAATACCCTTCCCTAGAATAACAACACACCTCCCCCTCTCTCGTCGATGACCTTAGACCCTTGTCGTGCAATTTTGGAACCACTGCAACATCCCTAAGAATAGACGATTTTGATAAAGATTTTAAATCTTATATTTTTATTACTCTAATTTATATTTTGAAATTTATCTGTCCATTAAGATTAAAAAAAGTGTGTATCATAATTCTGTACGTACTGACTACTCAGTACAATAACACATCAGGAGGGTAACAACATAAGTCCTATGATAATATTTTCCTGACACAAACACATTGAAAATATGTATATATTCTTAATTTATGACAGTAAAATATATGAATATCTGAATGTCAGCCAAGGTATAATCCATCGGCACTAAAACTCCTGAAAGATTATTATAGTCAGCATCTTTAGAAATAATAATAGCAAATAAATAATGAACTAACAAACTCATTCTGCGGAAACCTTGCTTTTTTCCGTACCAGTTTTTGTTTATTTGGTTCAGGGAGTCATCACTATACTGTAAAGTCAGGCTCCGGAGGAAATTTGATTGTTGATTTTGTCAACTGGGGGAAGAGTGCGGTGACTCCCTCTTTTCCCAGTTCTTACATGTTAAAAGATCTGTATCTTATATTAACAGTTCCCGAGCCTTTCGTCAAACACCCTTTTTGTGTCTTAGAAAATCAATTGTACAACATATCAAACATTTCCTCTCTCCTGATCCTGGCTTCAATTAAATATTAAAATACTTAGACTCCGTTATTATGACTATTTTCTATTACAGGTCACTACATTTATTCCAATTATGACGAATCTGTGCTGTATTCACCATCATTGACGTCATCAGGTTCTGAAACTTGTTTTTCTTTCTGGTATTACCTTCAACCTAGAAGTACCGGAGAATTATTGATATACCTACAATCTTTAAACGGACACATTGGAGACCCTCTAGCAGTGACTTCCTCACTTGGACATGGTGACGGACAATGGCAGTTACAACAAGTTCCCCTTTTAGCAACCGTACCAGCTACATTTTACGTCAGTTTGAACATCTTAATAATAGACATATTATAGAGTAATATTTTATTATATATGAAAAAATATATAAAAACAGTATTATGATTCGATTTCGCTGAATATATTATTTTAGTCTAAAATTTTATTCTTTTAGATTGTATTAATTTTTAGAAGAAATTATTCTAGTGGAATTGGAATTGATGATTTTCTCTACAAACAATCTCCTTGTAGCTGGCGGCATATACAAGGTATAAGAATATAATATTTTCATAAAGCAACTATGTGAGCTGTCGTAACAAAATGAGTCTTGTGGTACACCAGGTTAATTTGATATAATCAAGAAAATATACCTGAAGTGATATTTTGACAAAAATTTGGTTTTTCAATTTTTCTGATAAGCTTAATATGTATATTTCATAGTAGCAAAAGTTCCGAGTTGAGTTACCTAATGTAAGCATGTCTTTGAGGCACACTTTGTAAAGCTATCTTTCAGAATTAATAGAAAAACTAACACAAAATTTATCAGTTGTTTATCTTTAGAGGCGATTTTCTCTTAAGAATGTTTTCAAACATCTGAACTTCAAAATGATCTTACTCCAGTTTTGCTTAACCTAGAAACATGATTTAAACACTAAAATAAATCTTATATATTCATCTATCTAAATATATCAATAACTCATTTTTAATTTTTCGTACGACAAGACTCATTTTGTCACGACAGCTCACCTATTATGTACTATTTTTAATGAATGAAGATGAAGTGATACATTAAAATTGCATGGAAATTTGCTCGAAAATTAAGGTGGGTTGATACATAAGCAGTCCTAATTGTTGGTAAATTTCCTGGGGGACAAGAACTCAGGAACAGCTTACAGCTAGCCAATCTAGACTAGGCTAGGCCTTAGTCCTACACAGCCTAGGCCTAGCTAGCCTACTGGACTGCAGTGCTATAACGTTATTTTAGGCCTTCTCTTCTACCGAATTCCCGCCTTGCCTAGCTAGGCCTAGCCTTGCTATTTTCTTGTACAGTGACAGAACGATATTTGTTTAAAAAAGAACTAACAGTTTATTTAAATTGCCGCAAACATCATTAATAAAAATTGTTAAATCAAAAAACAAAAAACAAAAAAATACCAAAAAAAGGAAAAATTAATTGGAGGTCATCTCAGTCCTGCACAATCATACGAAAAAGAAAGGCGAACGGATCGGACATCATGCATGAAAACAAAGTTGACCTTGTCCTAAGCAAGATCAAAATATTTAATTTATAAACGTTAAAACAAATTTAATTCTTTAAAATATACCTAAAATATATTAGTATTAGTAGTTTTGTATTTCAATGTATATTAGTGGTATTTTAAAGATAATATTCAACAAAATAAAACAGTTTTATAACTCAAATTCATAGATAGGTCATGTCAATTTTGTGTGTATCATCAGCAGCGGGAAAAAGATTAGTTTGCTGGAGGTAAAAGTAGCGTTAGAAAATCAAGTGTAATCCTCATAAATGTGATATCATGGCTGACGTAAAGGTACTTGAATAACTCAGAATTGTTCAAGTTATTAGATTTAGTAAATTTGTTGCAGTATTTGCTGTTAGAATACATCTATTACCATTGGATTTTATAGGGTTGAGCATGACTACCATGTTTGATGTGACCTGGTCAAATCATTACGCTTGTCTCTGACATCCATCGTGATGATTGCTGTAGAACTATCAGTATAATTTTAATTCCAGTTGTTTTAGTTGTCTCTCGCCTGATTACTGACGTGTATTTGTAAACAATGATCTAGTAGTAATGACCTTTATGGACAAAAAAGGTGGTAAGGCGTGTCCACGTGTGTTTCGAAACATATGTAGAATATAATATAACGTAACAGTAAAGAAACTCAAATAAGTAAGATGTTGACTTTAAGAAACACTAAAATTTATTAGGTGAATATTTCGGCTACTCCTGTAGTCTTTGTCAACGCTTGACATAAAATGAACATATTGAGAAACTATCTTGGCAATATACAATTTGAGAAACAATACGGTAATTAAGTCAAAGCAATTCGGCATACGTCTATAAAGGATTAATGATAATTATATTTATATATATACGCGTCAAACATTAAATAGCACTGTGTAACCTTTTAAACTACATTTATATTCATCTGACTTTTTCAGCGACTACTGGTAATTGTAACTTTGAGCAATCTTTGGATGAGTGTGGTTACATTCAAGGAGGAACCAATGAAGATGATTTTAATTGGAACTTAGCAGGGCCAATTACAATGGCTGATGGAACAGGGCCGAATGTTGATCATTCCTTCGGGAATTCATCAGGTATGGATTAATTTGTTAAAATATAATTATTAGTTGTATTTTTATTTGTATTGAATAATTGTATAATTTATATACTATTTACAACATATAGGAATTTGAATTTCAAATTACAACATCATTTGTACCTTTTCCGTGTTATTTTGTTCTCGAGAATCCATAGGGCACAGACTATTGCCATAACATAGAAAAGATTCACATCTGGTAAGACAGATCAAGAACCATGATGTCATTAATCAGCGAATTTCAGTGCATTCAACAGACTTAATTCACTTATCTATGAAATTGTTAATAATAATTTTTCATGTAATAAAACAGTAAATTATTGATGATGTCATTTAGAAGCCTATTACATAATTTATCGTCAAATTCAAGTAACAGGGTTTCGTACGCGTCCTTAAATTCCATGAAAGTCCTGGAAAAACTAATGAGCATTTTCCAGTACTGGAAAGTCCTGGAAATTTCAGATTGTCCTTGAATGTCCTGGAAATTTGATCATTTACCATTAATTGTAGTACTATAAGTTGCCTAGTAACAGTCAACTGAATGAGAAACGTTCCCATAAGTAGGTTCCCACGATACTCTCGAGAGAATCAGGCCAAGTCTTTGTACGCCGCCAATTCAGGAATGTTATCAAAGACAGAAAGAATGTCATTGCTGATAATGGACTAGTTGGTTCAGGTTCAGACAAACTTGTGCGATTCAGTGAATGGAGTTGTTCGCCTATTTTTTAGTAAAGGCAGTGCTTTTTTTAAAATCTTGTACTTCTACAGTTATTTTCTTAGTGAATGGTGTTTAAAGGGCGTTTATTGTAAGAAGTTCTCGAATTTAGGGCAAGATATTTTTGTTAATTATGTTTCTGAAGTTTACAAAATCATTGAAAAACAATTTGCTGGTCGGCAGCAGATCAGTGTCGGTAGGATGGTACCGTACGTTAACATTTTGCTGTAGAGTAGATTATAAAAGTTGTAGGCCTACAACTAAGGCCTAATAATAATAGACTTAATATTAACAATAATGTTAGGCCCAATAGTAATGAATAATAATAAATAATACAGTATAGCATAATGATGTGTTGAGAATAGAGCATAACTGTTAAATTAATAATATAGTACATCATTCGTTTATACAAAATTTATAAACACCTAAATATATATGAAATGAGATGCATTAACGTCTCCGCAACGTACAGCCATCGAAGGCTATATTGTTTTACTGTACATGTTAACAACCCTGGACAGGCGGTAACCCACCCCGCAGCGCAACAAAAGAACCGAGTTATTCGGGCGCGCCGGTACCACAAAAGACACTGTCACGTTTAAGCAAAGATATAAGACCATTGTTGTACGCGCACATTTATGTTGCCAGGGGAGAATTCTACTTCACTGTAGGCGATCATCCCTACCTTACTTTACCGGTACTTCCCCATACTAGTGGGAATTCCTTTACTTGCCATCAAATTTTACACGTGTGAGAAAAACTTAATTTCCCACGAGCGTGAGAAAAAGAGACAGGTCCATCGCCTCTGAATTAGAGTTTGCTAAAACTTAATATACACTCAACTGTCATGCATTTAAAAGTAGTACAGCATATCTGTTTTATACTCAGTCGTAAACTCGCCGATATTTTACTGTTAATCTATATATTGTGTCCTTGAAAGTTGGAAAATTCTACCTTGAATGTCCTGGAATTGTCCTGGAAATTTGCTTGTTTAAAAACGTACGAACCTTGTCAGCAATCAGCTGATAATCATGATATAAACTTTTAAACTGCTGTACACAGATTTCTGTTTGTTTAAATTTGACAAACTGCACATAAAGGTATATGCCTTATGATGTAATTAAACCGTAGAATAACTTGACAGGACACGCATGGCTACAACCTGACATTATAAATCACTCTTCCTTTTGCAGATTATTTTTATTTTTTATTATTATTATTGTTATTATTATATTATTATTATTATTTCTATTATTGCTGCGAAGCAGCCAATTCATATTCTTGACAGCAATTTGACCTCTGAAAGGCCATTATTTGTCAAAAAACAAGGGCCTAAAGACGACTGAAAAGCGGAGTTTCCTTCTGCCGGGTAAAATCAATTACTTTAGGCGACGTTTATAGACTAACCAACACGTACCAACGTCCGCATGTCGCGCTAGCCTTATCCTACTCTAGGCCTAGACTAGCTAGGATGGTATAGGCCTAGCCTTGAAGGGACGAAGGTCCCAATGAAAAACAACGTCGCTCCTTGATGGCTAACATTGTCTATTTAATATCACAATAATTCATTATTAGACCTATAGTTGTTTTTTGAATTGTGCTCGACAAATCCCAGCCGATACCTCGCACAACTCGAGTAACGTCTTGTATCTATTGTCGTGACGTCATGGCTCGCTGGCTCACACTTGCGATGTCTCGCACTTGTGATCAAATAACACGCTGGCTCGCACTTTGACAACACTCTTTGGCAGTCAACTCGCCCCTAGAAAACCCGCCCCTGGAAACTTGCCCCATAAAAAAAATGTACACTTCCTAGACCATGCAGTCTTCAAAATAAAAATTGCAACCTATGGTAATCAACTACTTTTCCACATACATAGACATTTTTGAAACTTTATTAAAAAAAAACCTAAACCATAATTCACCACTATAGGCCTAGACACTTTTTGACAAAAATGAAAAATTACGACTTTGTTACCCAATGAGAAGTGTTCTAATATAGACAATGGGTCGTGTCTCATATTATTTGTTATATTTTTGTTATTCATTATTTTCACTTGACTCGCATAAATAATTTTGTTCGAAGAACATTTATATGCAGTTGTACTTCGCAGCACTTCACTTGCAATTTCTAGTTATTATGTCTATTAATATCATTATTATATCAGGCTATGATTCAGATTCACAAGAACAAAATTTTTCCTCATCAGATCATGGAGTTATTAGTGAGATATAATTTCTGAATATATACTTTTGATGAACCCCAAAGAGAAAGGGTGCCCGGGTTCCCTCAGGGAAATTTCAAATTCTAGATAGCGGGAAATGAGCTTTCCCGACTCCTGAAATGTCTTTTAATGACTTTAAGTTATTCGAAAGTCAAGGTTTTTCCCTTTTGAAAACAATCAGGCAATTTTTTTGTCATACTTATTTTATGTGTTTATATACATAAAAATTGAGTAGCATATACGTATTTTTTTTTTAATTGGTGAACCCCAAAACCAAAAGGGAGTCGGGGTCCTCGGGGTCGGGGACTGGATAAACACTCTCTTTCCGCTCTCTCTCCTTCTTTTCTCTGTCTTTTCTTGCATTTCTTTCTCCGATCATACAAAAATATCCATAGACATTATATATTTTTTACCAAAAAATTTGCCCCCCACCCTTTCCCAGGTTGTGCCGGCCATGACTATACCGGTACGGCAAGAGCAAATTTAGAAAAGAGTCAGAACTATAAGATTAAAAATATAATTCTGGTCCGATTACATCCGCCCAATTCCTCAACATGGAATCTTGCTAAGAGTGATGCATCTCAAGTCGTGCGATCTTACATGGAGATCACTCATATTTTCAACCTCCCTAGAGGTGTGCTATGTTTTGCTGCCTCGGTCGACTTTTTGCTAACCTTTAGAAAACTTCGCAACTGGGGGAAAAGGTAATCGATAACTGTCGTAAATGTAGGAACAAGAAAACCCTGAACCCCTAACACACTCGAACAGGATCGGTCCACCATGCGCCATAATATCTGTCTCACATATTAACATCCTTACCACTGAGTGAATTTGTAAACTATAGCAGATATATATTTTATTAATTTGATTAGTTGAAAACAGGTCACATGAGATTGATTTAAAATGATTTATTCCATGGAACGTTATTTGAGTACTAGTCAACGATCGTTGAATAGTAATTTTTCATCTTCAAGACGACAAAAATCTCATATAGGCCTATGCAACACGAGCGAGAAAAATTCCTAGCGCGCCTAGGCCGCCCGTGACGATGTTACAATCCGTCCGTCAACAAGGAGTTGGTCATTCAGTACCCTCGCGCCTCGAATAAAATGGCAGGTCCATTAGGTACAGGACCATTAGTACTTTTGAGCGAAGAAGGTTTGGAGGAATTACTGAAAGAATGTGATGCTGAATCAACAAAAAAATGCATTAGAATATGCAGTTAGCTGTATGAATCGTATTTCGCCAGGATCAGTTGTAAGGATGAGTCTATTTTATTAGCTGAACGTGGTCGGTTCCTAGGCGAGGCCGGTTTATGCTCGCCATGGAAAGGATGATGGGTCCTTGTAATATATTTGAAGAAAAGCATGCAGGTGTTGTTTTAAACCAAAATGAACGTTTCTCTTCCTACAATGGGGTAGAATACCTTATTCGGTGTGCAAGGTTGGATGTTTTATTCAACTCGGCTACCATTTATATAATGTCATCAATTAGGCAATGAACTAATAATAATTTCATCAATAATGTCATCAAGTAGCAAACTAATGTGATCAATGAATTACATGTCATAAAAATAGCAGAATTTATACATCAAAGCTCAAATTGTGTGTCATCAAAAGAGGAGACAGTATGCGACTGGATAATAAACTATATAATGATCTGGAGAGCAGCCTATTTCACAATTTTTCTAACTTGGGTCCACAAAGTATGGGTCCACATTTTTTTAAATGTTTGCAATTTTATTCAAAAATGAGTCAAAGATCTCATAGTGAGTCTAAAATGGGTAATATGTCTTTAGGAAATGGGTCCAGATTTTTCATATGTTAGCGCAAAATGGGTCAACTTTTAAGGAAATGTGTCCACTATTTGAATTTATGCGTGAAGCGGGTCCACCCTGATATTGTCCCGCACTGTTTGAAAATTCTGGCTACGACATTGATCTGGTGGTAGCTACTGTGTGTACATTGAACTGTGGAGATCTGTAGGTCCCCCGTTCAATTCCCATCGCTGCCTCTCCTTGTGTTTAAGCTGGAGGGCTGAAATACAGGTTACAATAGCGAACCGTCTTATGGATGAGACGTTTAAGTCGTTGGTTCCGTGTGAATTTATGGCCCATGTGCCACGTTAAAGAACGCAGTACACTCTTCGGAAAAGAGTAGGGGATTGTTTTTTGGTGTACTGCCGAATCACCATCAGAAGACTAGAATTTCGTGGGCTATCCTTGGTGCTTACACCGAATAAATCCAATCCAATCCATTTTCTGTAGCCATCTCAATTTCAAGGCTGGTCTAAGCATGCACATTATGAGATGAATTGAAAATTTATTTAAAATTTTAAAAAAAATCAATCTTTGTGTTGTTTTAACATAGAGAATTATAGCTCAAATCTATATATAATATCATTGAATAACAGCTCAACGTGGCTTTTGTTGATTGCAATGGCCTCAAGTGCAGATATACAAGCCAATATTTGGAAATTTATTGTTTGCAGTATAATTTATAACAATTAAATAAAACATATCACTTCTTTATATAAAGGTCATTACATGTATATTCAGTCATCTTTTCCGGTTGCCGGGGATACAGCTAAACTTTTCACACCAATGCTTACATCAACGAAAAACCCAAGATGTCTGATATTTTGGTATTATATTGATCAGGATGTCGGTGAATTGGAGGTGTATCTGGAAATATTAGATGCCGTTGATAAGATCTGGTACAGTAAAACACCTACGGGACACCAATGGAAATTAGCCAAATTGGACATTGTACCAATAAGCTCCGACTTTACAGTAAGTAGGTCCTATAATGTCTTTATAATAAGACTGTAGCACAACAGTTATTTAATTATCAATAATAATAATTGGTTGATGAATAACACTAATTTATTGATGGATAATAATAGATAGATAGATAGATAGATAGATAGATAGATAGATAGATAGATAGATAGATAGATAGATAGATAGATAAATAGATAGGCTATAGATAGATAGATTGATTGATTGATTGATTGACTGATGATCGATCGTCTGATTGATTAATCGATCGTCAATCAATTGATCGATCGATTGACTGATTGATTGATTGTTGATTAAGAAATTGATGACGGATTGATTGATTAAATCATTAAATCAATTAAATGATTGTCTGACTGATTGATTGACTTTGACTGACTGATTTATTAATTTAATAATTGACCGAATGATTGATTATTGTCGGATTGACTGACTGACTGGTTGATTGATTTTAATTAACTGATTGATGTATATATACATACATTTGTGTGAATAATATTCAAATTAAGTTTGCTGCATAGCACCGTGAATATTATTTAAACAAATGGAAAACGAGTGGTTGCATGTTCAAATCCTGCCAAACTTTTTTCATTGGAAACTGGGACACAAAGCTGAGTTGAAGAATGTTAGGCACTGAGTAACCCTGCTGACCGAATTGTTTATCTACACAGCAGTAGAGCACTAATATGCAAATTTACTGCAACCAAAAATTAACAGTTAAATAGCTTAAACAAATGGATTATACCATCTGAAATCAGTAAATAATGCACTTATTTTTAAAACAAAACACCAGATTGATGGTAGTGGCGTATTCTCTTATACACATCT